CTCGTACGGTCCAAGGAGCCTGGAAGCTGGCAGTATTTCCAAAGGATCCGAAAGATGTTTCACTATAAATACGGAAGAACAAATACCACTCCCTTCAGTCCAGAATTCATTTTTAGTGAGATATCAGAGGGACTTTTCCCTAAAGGCCCAGTTACGTAAAGGGTGGATAATGCTATCCAACGGATAGAGATTTATCTAGTGGATAGTACTATCCAACCTTCGAACGACTAGAGTCAGAAGTTTTAAGGTTATGATTCGAATAAAAGAGCTAGAGCTCTTTCACTTTTCCAAGCACCCCAAAAGTTGCTGAAAATTTAATGAAAAGTTGAAAAATTTCTTGACGCAATTTTGGATGTCTATAAACTGCTGAAAACCTTTGGAACCACAATCCCGGGTGAATATTCTGTTCTCTCAATTTAAATTTGAATATCGAGATGACGAATAGATCACGACTAAAAGCACACGACTTGGTCGCACTAAAACCTCAATGTCGGGTCTGATTTCCTTCGTGAATAAATTAATAAAGTATTAACGAATTTGAGAAGTGTGTAAACAAGTAAACATGAAATTACCCCCATACATGACGTCACCACTGTTAGTGAAGATCACGTGACATTGATCTGGTGAAGGACACGTGTCCAGTAAATGGGAAGAACGAAGATCCCACTGCTTTTAGCGTCAAGGATTATTGGCCTTGCTTTAGACATTTTAAAGGCTTAGTGTCACAAGAAACAGTAGTGCTCCGTCGGTGGGGAGGGCGGGGAAATAACCAGATAGTTTGGTTTTATCGACTAGGTTGATGATGTAAATTGGCCGGCAAATCGCTTAGGATATTTAGATATAAGTTTGTACTCAGTGGACCAGTCAGGTGACTGTGTAGTGATTCCCGAAAACGCTCAAGGTGAGGAAACAATAAACTTTTCTTATGAAATAATAGTCCTTGATATCTTTTTCTCTCCTAATTCACTATCAAAGTAAGAAGAAGAATGAGGTAAAGTGATTTTTTCGAGATCCGTGAAAGGCCGACGTTGTGTTCCATTATTTTCGTGAAACGTGATTTGGACTCACTGCTTTACAGTATAGCATTGGCTCGTTCCATAAAAACAAGAAAAGGATACAATCTCTGAATTGATGATAATCTCCAGCCCGGAAGGATGGAAAACGCCGCTGACAAAGTTTTTAAACTTGTCAAACTTGTGTATAACCCGTTTGCCTTTGACATCCCATAATACACCGTCCTTCAGTACCAGGTCGTCCGTGGGATTGAAGGAGGCGAGGTTCTTTGAGTAGTTGTTAGTGTTGTTGGAATCGTGCAGAGTTAGTGTCCGCTGACCTGTCGCAGTGTCGTAAATCTGATGATTGAATTTAATCTGGTGAATAATATAATCACACTCTAACTGCATTCTAATGCTCGTAGTTATCGAGAAATAAAAAGGGTGTTTTAGCAGAGAAGTACCACAAGCAATAAACGACAAAAGAAAACAAGAAAACATTGGTCAACCTTTACTAAGGTAATCACAAGGCTTTGCCTCCAATTTATCAACGATCTACCGATAGAAATCTCGAGTTCGACGCCTTAAAGTTTGTTTAATTTTTCAAAAGACGCATTTCAACTGAGTGACGTGAAAGAAAAACCAAAGTTGTTTCTAAAGCATATCAAAATAACAAATAAAAAATTATTAAACACAGCCAACAGGCCTCAGAACAAGTAAACTGAGGCGTAGAAAAGTGATCTTGGTCATGAAGTCTGAGCTAAAAATGCTTCTTGAAAGTCCATGTATTCGAGACAAAAAATGATCGCAAACTTGGGCGAAATCAGCGATTCTATCGTCCTTGCTGTCCCGTGTTCACGCTGTAGCAATTTCGCTTATCTATTTGTCCTTTTGTAAATGTTCTAAATGAACAGCGACAATTTGTCAAACTAAGGCTGCTCGTGATGTATTTAGAAGTGAAAATGTATCATATGTCTTGAACTCACATGCGCAGTAGCGTCGTGTGTGCCGATAATTCTGTGTTCTGATAAATTACTAGACTTTACCCAGGTGTCTTCGTTAAATGTATGTCTGAGCCAAAGACAAAAAAATAAAATTATAGGTAAATAACATTTTTTATCAAATGGAGAGATAAATGTAACGACGAAATATTACAGTTCGCCTACTGTCACCGTGTTATTAACATCAATCTGATTATAGGATGCGAGCCATGATATACACCTAAATTATTTCCCATTTTGCTTGTTTTGATCTTGAACGTTGATTGCCGCAGGTGCATTATGTTGAAATCATTGCACGTCTCCTGTAATCTATGAAATTAGTTTGTCTAATAACAATGTAAACACAACAATGTAAAACTTCTTTTTGTATCTCAGCGATCCTTAAGTCAATAAAAATTAATGGTAAAACATAGCGAAGTATGTGTTTGCTTTATGTTTCTGCGACAAACATTGTAGTTTGTTAAAGGTGAGAAACAAATATACCAAGCAGAGTCATAAACAAGGACGTAACTATCCAATGCACTAGTGGTACGAATCAAACAGGTTTTCTGAGACTTACTTCATTTCGAAAACGTCTCCAAATGACCAAAGAGCACAGAGGGGCGAAGCAGATGAAGATGACGTCAATAAAAGTTCGCGGTCCTAAAAGTTGAAGAATGGAGTACAGAAAGACAATTTCAGTGATAAATGAATTCGTGAACACAACCTGAAATGGTCACATGAGCCATAGATAGGTTCATAACGTTGCGAAACGCGCTGCAAAACTGATGAATAAAAAGGGTTGATTGGTTTGAACGAAAGATATGGAAACTAAACAGTTAACATGAAGACTGAATTTGACCGAACGTTAAGTTATTTAAAAGCAATAGCGGAGCTGCCTTGTTTGTGTGGATGTGGACCGAAATCCAACCTAACTTGTTACCATTTGACTGTTGTTGGGTCTGGGGAGGGAGGGGTGGGTGCGCCAAAAAAAAAAATTGTTGAAAAACATTAATGAAACTTTCCATTCTGTTTGAAGTAGAAAGAAACGTATTTTTGACTACATGGGGAGGGAAGCTTCCATGTTGTACTCTTACTTTTGAACATTGGCACATGGAAATTGCTCTGTCTGCGTTTTTGCGTTTGACTTGAAATCAAAATGTGTCGATTGAGTTTTGTACCTTTCCAGTTATTAAGTTGTATTCCTTCAACTCGCCTATTTGTGTTCCAAGTAAAACAGACTTGCCATCGGGCTGAGGAGAAAAAGTAAAAACTTAGGTACTACGTTTACATGACCTCATAAAAGCCATCATTTTTTTTAAACAATAGTAAGGATAATTATTACGAGTAGAAAAAAAAAAGAAACACAAGATTATAATTTCTATTTTACTAAGAATCAGCCAAATGCAAACGACACAAACAAGAGGTTCAAACCGTTTGACTTTGACGCCATTTATACTATTCCTTGCAATGACTGTGACAACGAATACATCGGACAGACCAAACGTCAGTTTGGTACACGGTTAAAAGAGCACCAAAAAGCGGGGTTTTTTTGCAAAAAGGAAAATTCAGCTTTATCGGAGCATACATGCCTAACCAACCATACAATTGGGTGGGATAATTCTAAAATTATCACCACTAATCGGCGTTACCATCAGCGCCTTTGTATGGAGGCCTGGCATATCAACTCCGCCCACGCTCCTTTAAATCGTGACGATGGCGGTTTGCTTCCTAACGCCTATTTACATCTCGTCAGAAAAAAAAAAGCCGCTAATTAGTGATCATATAAAAGGACCTCTTGTTGCAGCGTTTAGATCACCCCTGATGAAGGCACTAGACGGGAGTGTCGAAACGTTGGGTCTACGAATCGTAACTTCTTCGGTTACATTCATTAAATCTGCAAACCAGAGTAGCGTCAAACTATGTCTGATTGTCCACCTGGTTGTCGTGTGAACTTTAATATAACAACAATTAATTTCCATTCATTATGGAACGATTAATCATCGATCATTTAAACATAGAGCAGTGGACAGGCCTCGAAAAATGGCATTTAAAATACAGTGAGAAAAATTAAGAAAAATCGAAAGTCAATAATACTAAAAGGCTACCTGTATCCTTTAGAAGGCAGTAGAAAATCGCTACAACTAATGTTCTGATACGATTTTGATTTTTGAATTATCAAAAACATCAATTCCTTGAGTTGAAACGATTTCCGAGAATTTCCAATTCCGGTAGCACAGTCCTACAGTCCAGGGGCCAATACTGGTAACAGAACTTCCTTTATTCGTGGTTAGTGCAATCAACATGGTGGACTACAAAAACGTGTCTCCTACGCATGATCTTGCGAGTAGCCACTGACCAACACTAAAGGCAGACCTTTCCAATGACGTACCTATTACTTGTCACTGCCCAGTCTGACGATAGGGAGATCAACTGAAACAGCAGGGTGAAGCCTTGAAGTCTGTTCATCACCTTTGGGATGGAAGGAAAAAATGTTAAATAATAGCGAACTTGAGCAGTCAGGAATGAAACGCCGAGGAAGACGTCGACTAAAATAATGAATTTTTATTTCTGGTTCGGATTTTGCGAATGGCTGGGTGTGTTTACCGTCTCTTACGGTGCCAGACCACAACCTCAGCATAACATATGTGAGCCTGGTTGAATTCCAAATGGAAATTTTACTCTTATGCCATCAGGGTTTCCGTTCTCAGACATAGCAAATTTTGGTGATTTCACGTTTCAAGTGCTGTTCTCGTTTTAAGCCGTCGTGGTTTGCCACAGATCCCTAATAAACATAAGAAAACGTATGCATCCTGACACCGTAGAGCCCACAGACAGAGGCGAGTTTACACTAGTTATGGGTAAATCGGCAAGATCCGATTAGAATTCCAGCCGCTTGGCTAGCAAAGATTTTCATACTCGACCACTTCATGGAATATCCAAACAAAAAGTCCACAAAAAATGAACCAGTCTTGAGGCAACAGAGCGATTTGTGCAAGCGAGTCTGTGCTTATGAGCATTGGTTGATGAAATAAAAAAAAACAAAACAAGAAACGAACAAACAAACAAATATAAGAAATTACTTCTCCACTCTATTCCCGAGAGCGAAACGTATCTAATGGATTGATATGTATACGTAAACTACGAGAATTATGAATATAATGATACTAATAATAACAATTACGATAATTATAATTATAAAAATAATAATAATAACAATATTAATAATAAATAATAATAATAGACATTATTAATAATAAATAATAATAACAACAAAGCAATGTAAGTAAGTGTTACGGTGTCCATTGGGGGGTTTCATAACGTACGAGCCGTCGTTAACCATCAAATACTGTGCCCCATTACTGCGAACAAAAAAACAAAAACAAAAACCCTTTGCCGATGTTAAGTTCACTTCCAACCTCTCTGAACTAAAGCAGCCAAGCGGGTGTCGTCCTTTTAAATAACATAACATATTGAATTTGCTCATCTGACAATATACAATTTTCTCCTAAAATTAGGGAGTAGGCTTGAAAATTCACCTTATACGCTGCAACTGGAACAGGTGGTGTTCCACCCTCGTTCCTTGCCATAGATCTCCTCAGCGCATCTGCCCTGATGTGAAGATGGGCATTAAAGTATCTCCGTAGAGCCATGCAAGTGTGATTTGCTGTCTGCCGGCTGCCAAACACCTCATCATTACTCCGTAGTTCTGCCTCGTCGGGACGAAGGATTGAAAGCGTACTTAGCTGCCACAACATGGTTAAACAAAAAAAGATTCTTTTAGAATGGTTTGCAGCCAGTAATATTCGTTGTTTTCAAGATGCAAACGCAAGTGGAATAGGACCGTAAAATGGCTTGAAAAAATTTAAACGAGTCTGCGCAGTCTGGAAAATGCAAACACGGCGTGTACTAAATACTTGTTAATTCATAGCGGTCGGCATGTCTCTAAACTACTTTTCAAAAGTAACAAACCGTGATTTACTGAAGTGGAGGTTGCTGGCTAGTAGCGGATATTCACCGAGTCTCGAAGCCGCGAGGTGAATATCCACCGCCAGCCATAGACACTGAGGTGAATAGTTATAGTATATACTTAAACAGAAAGATGATATAGTAAAAAGGGATGATTCTAACTCATTTAGTCCCGCGATCATTGCAATATTTCCGCGCGCAAATCACGCGCGAGTTACTCGGAGGTAAACAGCAACGGATATTCGATGTTTGATGTTTGAGTAGCCAATCAGAATGGGCCTTCAACGTTATCCACTATTTTATTAATTAAATAAACACATTTTATGTTAGTTATTCTTTTATTTCTTTACATATTGCAAAATATTTCGAATGAGTGTTATTAAGAGAAATTGCTACTCCTACGAGAACGGAAAGGTCACAGAACAAATAGACCTCGTGGTGTGATCCTACTCCAAGCGATTGAACTACACGATCCACGTTTCTCTGGGGTCCAAACCGTGTTGTGTAATTAATAAATACAACTGACTAATTACCTGGTTCACAAGCTTCCGCAGACCATCATTACTGTCGAACAATTCCAGCACTGCTCAAAATGAACACGTGAGCAAGAAAAAGAGAGGTGCGTGACATCTGCCAGAGTCGTGAGAACATTCTAGAAGCCACAATGCATACTTGACCAAGTTACTCAGCACAGGGTTTGGTAGGAGGGACACCTGAAACAAGTTACCTGAAACAGTTAAGGAGGCTCCGTCGACATATTCTGTTTGTTAATTTCATGATTCTCAGGCCCATGTAGAAAAAAGAGCACCAAGAATTTAATTATTCGAAGTTTTTTGGTGGAATTAATGGTAGTTTTGTAAGATAACATTTTTTGAGTGATTATCTGTATGTTTTTTATCTTTATCTTTTTCTATCTCCTTGCTTGCGATTCTATTTATCCATTTAACCAGTTTTTCTTTTATTCCTTTTTTTATCCCTCTTCATGCAGCAATAAGTGCTGTGAAGTTTTTTCTACCTGAAGGTTATACGTTATACATAAATAAGCTTTTTCTGGGGGGGGAGGGGAGGGAAGGGAGAGGGCGATTGATGAAAAATAAGCAGAGATGTGTTATTCGTTGTTATTTCATGTTTAACGGAATGATACTGGTTACCTCTTTCTTTTAGAAAAAAACTGGTCTGCTTATAACTCACAGATTATTGGTAAGTTAAATCTGCACTTAATAATGCTTTTCTTCCAACTACAAATCAAAAAACCTAAAAACATTTTTTTTAAAATGGAAAAATGTCTTACCCTCTCCATGGCGTCCTCATTGTAAGCGAGATAATATAAACACATAGAACATCCTGTAGCAGCCACAGATGGGCGGGGCACTTCTAGTAACCGCTGGACACCGTTATGAGTCACAAATTCTGTGGGAAACTTTTTATAACAAAGAAGGGATGCCAAATACTAAAAGGACAATAAAAGGAAATAACTTTTAAATTCTGAAGCTTTTTTGTCAGATCTCAGTCGGTACAATACATTATTGTCTTAACCTTTAACTTCCACGAGTGACCAACACAGAATTTATCCTTACAATATAAATACAATATCAACCAGATAAGTAATGAGAATAAGGAAAATTATCAATTCGGGCAGGATTAGCTGATCCAATACTAAATTATCCGAACTAACATTATAAGAATTCTATGGTTGACAGAACGGAAGATTACAAATTTGATCTGGGAGTTGAAGAGTTAAAGTAGTGTTTTTCAAGAGGGATGAATGTGGTAGAGTGTCTAAAGGTTCGTTTACACAAAAGACAGAGTTGGAGTCGAATCGTTCATTAGTCGTAGGAATGCCGGCGAACCAGAGAAAATCGAGAGTCGGAGTCGTAAGTGGAGCCAAAAGCTTGACGAAATCGGAGTCGGAATATTCCGAACAATATCTTTTCTTCCGTTTCCGCTAATAACTCCAACGCTTATGATCCAGTGAAAACTAGATTGTCGGAATCACAGGCAATGCCAGTTCTTAGCTGAGCTAACCGACGGCTCACAACTCCAGCAATTCATTTTTCACATATCACTTGCGAAGGAGTCATGAGTGGCATCAGTATTTTGCTTCTGGTTCTATTGGTTTGATTTCACAAGGTCATATCGCTCTGCTCTTTTTATTTCTTTAGAAGTCGATCCAAGTTGATAATGAAGGAGAGACAAATTTGTTTGTTTGTGAAGTCTCTTCGAAAATTCAACATCCGATTTCAACGCTAAGCTGATTGTTCTGCACTGCAAAAAAATATTTGAGGGATAAAAAGCAAAAGAATACGTCCTCAATTTGGCTCTAATATATATACGTATATTTTGTCTTTAAAGATGATCAGTTCCCAAAAGCACACAGTTTTTCTCAAGCTTTACTCTTCGAAAATTCTTGGCCTCTCTAAACAAAATAAACGTTCACCAAAAAAAAGTACGAGCATATTTTTACACGAAATAGAGATTACTGTTCAATAGTCGGTCCTCACTAAAATTTGTTAAGTTTCTAAATTATCCTTACAGATTGAGTACACGTTTCTCACAAGCTTCCCACAAACTTCAGTAGGGGGAGTCTTACTGTTCTTCACATTACATCAAATGCTCAAGTGCCTAATTACAGCACATACCTCCTGATATTCTCCCAAGGGAGTCAGATACTGCAGAATTAGTCTCTGCTGCATGCCAAGAGTCAGGGGGGAGAGAAAAAAGGACATAGGGACAATGTGGTACCCTCCCTTAGGTGCACAAATTACATTTTCAACTGGATGTTTTGCTTGTTGACAACTTTTACCTGAAACAAAAAGAAATATCTATTAATATTAAGGAAACTAAGCTGACTTGCGCAGGGCAAACCTACTTGGAGTACTTCCTTCCTAGCACCCCCCCTCCTCCACCCCCCACGACATAAAAAGAAGAGAAACAAATGATAATAAGAACAAAAATACTGAAGTGCTTGAGGAAGGACACTTCTCAATCCATGTTATTGTGACCACCTAGAGATACTATCAAATCCCTCTAGTTCAAAATTGAAAGCTATCCTTGTTTCCCTTAAACTCCCAGAAGTGATCAACATGTAACTTCTCTCTATAATGTACATACGTAATTCACTTAACAGCTAATGAGAATACACAAACTTATTAAGCAGAAGTTGTTATCTTGATCTAAACACCAAATTCTCATGACTAGTTTACATGGAAAGATGTAGCAACTATAGGGGAGAATTAATAATCTGATTTTAGAAGTTAAAGGTTAAAAGAAAAAAAAAACAGAATGTGCAGCTTTCCAACATTTTTCACAAGAGTGGAATTTTGAGGCAAAAAAGAAATAAACTCAACCCCTCAAAGACCCTATTTGCACTTACCAGTATCTAGTGTCTGTTACATTGAGAGCTTCAAGGACCCCATCCAAATGATCTCACCTTTGTGGAGCTTATTCATCACATTATCCTTGCAGTGCTTTCAATAAGATTTGAAGAAGGTGGCTTCCTTGGTAAGGCACCTGCCGGAGAATTTCCCTCTTGTAATCCCATTACTTCCATTCGGAATAAACTGGCTTAAAACAGAGTTTTTGGTGCCAAACTTTCACAGATGATCATTAAATATTTTTGTTCTTGATAACAATTGTTTAACTGATCATTTTATTCCAGATCAAAATTTTCCATTCCCTGTTACTCACAATGTTACTGTTTTTGCTCTTGTTCCTGTTTGTCTTTGCCTTCAGGATAATCCTGTTTAACAGGTCTGTCACAAGGGACTATGTAAGGTCTGACAAGTCCTTTAAAATTTGCAGCTGCCACAGCATACAGGGAACCTAAACATGTGAAATTCAACATTTAATCCTCAGCGTATAGTTTAAAAAAGGTGTTCCAAACAAAAAATGCCATGAGTGACAAAAGACAATTCCTGAGAGGTGTAAACCCAACTATACACTCTGACTTTTGGAAAACAAATGCTGTTAAACACAAACCTAAGGTGTAATATTTTAAAAACCCCTTTTCACCCTAACATCAGTATGCATATTCTCCATACTGTTCTATATACATTTCTTTAGTTGTTGACTTGGAGAATTTATTTAACAAGATGTCAAAAGCTTCTTTATTTGGTGATCATTTCCTTTGTTCTCATAGCCTTTATGTTTGATTCAGGGGAGATATTGTAAGGAGAAATTAGATGCTGGTCACTCTTTAAAGTTGCTATATTGACTTACCAAGGTAGAGTTTTCTTCTCTGAATACTGCAGCAATATCCTGGCTCTCCATGGCAAATGCTAAAAGACCTGTTAATAAATTAATTATCAAAGTTTCTATTATTTGATACTTGAAATTAAAAACAAATTGAATATGCAACTGCAGCAATACACATTAAAAATGAACAAAAAGGAATATTAGAATCCTCAATGAAACCATGACTATCTATATCTTAACCTTGTACACTACCTTGGATCACCTAACTAAAACAACCTTCTACTTACACTCAGTTAATAAATATGTACACAAAATTGAGTTAATTCAGAAGCTGAAGCTGTACAAGAATGAGATAAATCTAATTTTCCCCAGGAGGCCACTTGATGCTAAATATTTTGTCAACTAAATTGTCTTTTTTCTCTTTTTCAGGTATGGTGACCAAAATGTTCAAAGCCTGAAGTACTGTGTAAAGTAAGACCAGTAAACTATGCTATAAATACCTGTAGCATATGATCTCAGGGGTTCCAAGGCTTCTCTGGCCCATTTGCATAATTGATTAAGCATTGCTTCCTACATGTACATGATTGACATCAAATTTGTTGATAGGAAATATGTAGAGAAAGATTTTTATTGTCTCATCACAAGTGTGGGACAAGAAAAGAATTCTGAGTCCCCATGAGGAATTGAACCTCAGACCTTCAGATTCCACACTCCAATGCTTTACCACTGAGCCAGAGAGACTCCCCAGTGAGTGAGGTCTATTACAAAGTTCATATGACATGCATCCTGCATAGTGTCCTGCATAGTATCATGTTTATAAATAGAATGAGAGATGGTAAGTTTTGAACTCAGTAAAGAAATAAAGAAAGATGTTTTCATCTTGTCACGTGTGTAGGACCAGGGAAAAAATTCTGAGTCATCTTC